AAAAGTGAGGTCTGTGAAGTCCTCAAATGCCGCTCTGCCTGCCCTTCAGCTCTGTCTGGAGATATAATTACAGGGCTGGGTTGCCATGGTGCTCCACCAACATGCACTTTTTATTCCCTGTTGAAGAAGATGCAGGAGATGGTGGGTGGTAATTTGCATTCCTCTCAGAAATAAAGGACAAGTCTTAGTTTCCCAAAAAAAGCTGAAAATATCAAACACTTGAGTTCACAAAACCTAATCGACCTGTTGAGAAATCTAGACCATTTAGCAACTGCATTATTTTGGAAGCATTTTTGATTAATAGGAGTTTTGAGTCAAACCCCAAGCTTACGGAGGTTTTATATAGAAGTTTGCCATTAGTGGGTCACTGTAGGAAACTGAGGCCATTATTTTTACTTGAAGGAGGCGCAGGAGACCTGGATCTGAAATTTGGAAATCAGCTTCCAGTTAATATTTTTCCTCTCATCTGGGTACTAAAATAAAGCAAGTCTGTGCTTTGGAACTTGAAATTCTTTTGTGTTTTTGGAGCTAAAGCCAATTTGTTCATATTTACCCTCTTTCCTGCTGGTGCCTCCTATCTTCTTTAGGCTCTTGGTAATTTTCCTTTAGAAGGACAGGAGGAGGAGAGTGGCTGTTCTGTCACCTCAGTGTGATCACAGGAAGGAAGCATCTCCTCCCTCCTCCCTCTCCGCAGGCTGGAAGGGAAGGTTTGCCGCAGGCCAGTTCAGGGCCGGCATCTTGTTACTGTCTGGCTGTCCTTGGCAAAGCAGCTGGTAGCTATTTTCAAACACCTAAATCTACACTGGAGAGCAAGTAATCTAAACTTTGCTAATTACATCTAGTCTTACACATCGGTGCATGTTTAATATTTCAGATATCCACAGAGGATTTGACCTTAGGAAGTACCCGATTGCCCCCTTGGTAAAAGCGAGCCTGCTTTTTCCTGTGGCCCTGGGTGGCAGGTCGCGACAACGATCGTGATGTCTGAGGCTGCATCTGCGGCACACTTGGAGCCAGCTCAGACTGGAATTTTCCATTTACTTGAGGCCAAGCACTCGAACATCGGAAGCGACCAGACGCTGGCGTTGGTGGAAAACGTTAGCACTGAGAAGTTCAGTACTACATCCCTGATGGAGAATTTTTTTTTTCACCGAAGGACAGAGGTTGGCCTCTCTGAATCCCATGAAAATGACCAACCTTTAAACACTGGCAGCTCTGCAATACCATGAAGTGGTAGAGAAACTGTTATTGTTATGTGGGCTCTGCAGGGACAAGTGTCTAATGGATCGGATAAGCTAAAACTTGCTGGGCTGAATTTGCCTTGTGCCCCTCTGTCACTCACGTGTGGGTAGCATGCATGCACATTTCACAGATCCACAGCGAGGGTGGTGAGCACCATATATGAGCCTGTCGTGGGCAGCCCCTCCGTCTGAATGCAGAAGCCTGGGCGAGTTGCAGCATCTTGCCAGTCCCTCTCCTTTAGCTTGCTTAGCTGTCACCCTTGCAGCAGGAGACCAGCAGGTGGTGAAAGAAGTGTAGGAGACTGAGGGGAGGGTAGAAGACTGACTGCTCGTTGCTCATGTCCAGAAGAGAGTGATGGTGCTGAGTAGCAAAGAGAAGTGAAGAGCATGCATGGGTTCCAGATGTGAAAAGGCCAAGGAGCCCTGAAGTGCAAGATGCCAGCACTTGGAGCCTGAGGTTCACCCGGGGTCTACTTCAGGTCTAAGCCGAGGAGGTGAAGAGAAGGCTCAGTAACAGTGCTCAAATAAACATTTACAACTATTTACTCTCCCCCTGAAATTTCACATTTTATTACTAAGGCTGTAAGAAATACTAATACTTCCCCTCAGCCCCCCACAATGTGGTTCATTGACCAAAAAGTCCGTGTACGTCTAGAATGATGGGGAAAATAAACAGATGGGTGTTACTTAAAACCTACGGGAATAAGTTTCAGGCCTGATGATTTAGTCACCTTGGCGTTGGGCACTCCCACCCTACATGGTACTAATTGCTAGAGCATTAAAATTGGTGCCGTTTCTTTTACTGGCATTTGAAGCTGCTGTGGTTAGTGTAGCGAGCATTCCAGGACAAAGTGTTGTTTACGGGCCCGTAGTAACTGGGCAAAATGTTTTGTTTTGTTTTTTTTTTTTAATATATTTTATTGATTTTTTACAGAGAGGAAGGGAGAGAGATAGAGAGTTAGAAACATCGATGAGAGAGAAACATCGATCAGCTGCCTCCTGCACATCTCCTACTGGAGATGTGCCCGCAACCCAGGTACATGCCCTTGACCGGAATCGAACCTGGGACCCTTCAGTCCGCAGGCCGACGCTCTATCCACTGAGCCAAACCGGTTTCGGCTGGGCAAAATGTTTTTAAAATTAAACCTAGAATGTGAAAGTCAGAGCAAAGCCATGGCGGCTCCCTTCCTTGTTGAGGGCCCTGCATGGCAAGCACACTTCCTCCTCCAGACTTCCCACTGGCGTTCCTGCTGTATAGGTGACCTTGAAGACACCCACCCTTCAGGGACGTTAACTTGAGGCAAAGGTAATATTTGACCCATTCAGGTCTGGGACTTTCAGGCCTATGTTGCCATTTACCTAAATAGGGAATCTCCCAGAAGTGGTGCTAAGTGCTAAGTCACCTGTGAGTCCCAGGCCAGAGTCGGGCGTGACAAACGGAGCCCTCGCTCAGGCAGCAGCACAGGGTGAAGAACAGGAAGTTTCCATGAGTCTTAGCTTCACTCAGGGATAGCAAGTTTGGGGAAAATTCTTTAGTATTCTCAAATAATCTGCTGAATAAGACTACAGAATTGATTGCAGAGCACAGTGTGGTTTATCAGTGACTATTTGCTGTTTTAAGGAAAAGAAATCCGCCTCTTATAGTTATTTTCCTCCTTATAGCTTTCCAATTCCCTTTCTAAAATAACAAAATAATTCAGAGTCTAAGGAGTTACAACTAGAGTTTTTAGCTTTAATTGTATACTTATTTAAATGGTGTCTTTAAGATTTCATTTTCATTACTAACAGAGAGAAATGCAAAAAGAAATTGTATTTCCTGCAACCATACTAATCTCACTTATTTAGTAGTTTGGTAGATTGTGTGAGGTTTTTTTACATCGACAATCATGTCATCTGTGACTCCATACACTTATTTAGAGCTCAGAGATAAAGCTCTTCTAACTTCTCAGTGAAGAGAATCGGGTTCTTGTGCTACATTCCCAGGGGCTGAAAACCCCGGGGCCCTGAACCTCCGTGCCAGCTGTCCCGCTGTGGGGCAGGTCTTATTGTTAGAAATCTTGTTCACCTTTGCGTGAGTGGACCTCAGTTGCTCTGCGACAGCCACCCAGAGACTTGACGACAACTGCACATTCCTCCCCAGGCATCTCGGCTCAGGTGACGCAGTTCCTCGGTCTTCTTGTGGTGAGACCTGAGGACAATCCTGATGCTCTGTGGAGAACACAGAATTGAGAAAAGCATCATATGGTGTGATCGGCCAGAGTTGTTTATAGAAGAATATAATGATTTTTTTAAAAGTCTGAATGAATAATGCTGAATGGAAAGGTTAGCCAGGGACCATAGACATGTTGGAGATGGGTTTTAAAACATATGTAGTCCGCCGCCCCCCGCCCGCCCGACACACACATTCACACATGTGTTTTGTTTTTGAAAGATTAAAAAACAAACTAGGAGACACATAAATCACTGATTATTTTTAATAATTTTGTGCTGTGGTTTGACCATAGCATTACGAACAAGCAGAAAAAGCTGATTTCATAGCTTTAACAGCACTTAGAGCAACATCTTTCTTTAAAAGTATTGCAATGACAGACCTCAGGCCTAAGAACTACATCACCAGTGCTCAGTTAAAAAGAGGCAGATACACAACAGTTGGAGATCTTTTTTAGTGCATAACTGGGAATTATTTTGAAAAGTAAGCACAAATGGCTGTTAGAAAAGACTTTAATGACTTCTTATTATCATAACTCATATGATCAACTTGAAAAGTTCAAATACAGTTATACTTTTTTTAGTAGGCTGCTTTATAATAATTAAATGAACTAAATGCTGTGAATAGTATTACATGTTTTAAAACAGCTTCACACTAGACAAATATACAATTAGAAACGTGATTTTTGAAAGCCATGAAATGAAAAATAACAACATACCAATAAGCACATTAAAATGAACCAGTATCATTAACAATAAAGTTTAAGCCTTAATCAGTTCTGTAGAGAGAAAGCAATGGTGTGGTAACAAATGTTAGTACCTCTGAGTCCAGAACATTCTGTGATGACACCCACCCTCAACAGTTCTCCCGAGATTGAACCCGGGGGGGATGGGGGGGAATGTGGTTCCTGACAGCAGTGAGCCCCTGTTTTTAATGCTGACGCTGGGGAACCCTGCAGCAGACAGTGGGCCAGACAGTGGGGTTGGACAGGAGCGAGAACACACGAGATACCGATCTTTTCATGGATCTTTCAAAACAGATAATAAAAGAAGGGCTGACTTTTAGTTTATTCAGCATTAAGAGCTGCATTGTAGAGGCGTTTTCAGTTTAAGGATAATCGGGAATAATTTGTTTTCTGGCGGGTAAGGGTATGATCCTATTGTGATTTGCAAGATCAGAACATACACCACAGAGCAAATAAAAACCATGGAATTTATTAGAATTAAGATCCTCTAGTGACAGAATACACTGGAAAGGATGCTCACACCCATGTTCAACAGTGGTTTAGTGAGCACGTTGTTATAGGCCAGTGATGGCGAACCTTTTGAGCACGGTGTGTCAACATTTTGAAAAACCCTAACTTAACTCTGGTGCCGTGTCACATAGAGAAATTTTTTGATATTTGCAACCATAGTAAAACAAAGATTTATATTTTTAATATTTATTTTATATATTTAAATGCCATTTAACAAAGAAAGGTCAACCAAAAAAATGAGTTCGCGTGTCACCTCTGACACGCGTGTCATAGGTTCGCCATCACTGTTATAGGCTTTTTTTTTTTTTTTTTTGGTAACTTTAGGATATTTGAAGATAAATGCAGAGAGCACAGTCAGACACTAAACACCGAGCTGGAAGAGAGATGTGACATCACGCAACTGCAAATGTAATCCCTAACCGGTGGCAAAACCCAGTTTAATTTTTTGGATCAAGATCACCATGAGACACCAAAAGGAATGGATATAAGATTCCCAACTCGGGGGGCTGATAGCTAATTCTCTGCTAATATAACCCATAATGACATCTTTTTGAAGAATGGGGTCGCAAGTGGCTTCATTTTCCCTGAGGTATGCTTTCCTACAAACCCTTCCGGTATTTCACTGGCTCCACAGCTTCAGTTTGTGAAGGAGAAAGGCAGAGAGAGACTCGGGACCCAGATGGTCCCAAATGCCCCCGTACTGAGCAAGGCCCTCCGCGGCAGGCCCACGGACTCTGGATGTAATTTTTGCAATTTTAGCAAAATGTGCACTTTCTCTGGGGTCTGACATCATTATTCTACATGACATTGATGTCTTCATAAAACAAGTTGAAAAGTCAACTATTTTTTTTCTAACACTGGTCCAACTGAGCGTTAAGAGCTGAAAAGAAGCATCTAGTGGCAACCAAAAAGCTATGGAATTTTTTTAAACTTATTTTTTTTAAAGTGTTTTCACAGCAAAGATGCAACTCTCATTTGCTATACATACGCTGGTCATAAACTGGCTTGCTTGTTCAGACTTCTTTCCCTTGTGTTATAATATTGGTATTTAATAGGAAAATAAACTACATAGACTTTTATCTGTATGCATCCATTTGCAAATTTCCTTACAAAAGAGGACAAAGCACATAGGCATTCACAAATTCTATGCCATTTCTGTTAAAATTGGTATCTATACATTATATTACAGTATTAACAATGTATGTTCTACCCATTGGGTAGGATATGTGCATAATATATTCAAGTTATATACAGCACCTTACAAATAAAAACGTAAGAAAAGACAAACAACTGAAGAAGCACCATTGTCAGTGAGGCACAACAAAGGTGGGAGCGCGGAGTGCGGCAGCTGCGGGGGCTCGGGTCCTACGTCTGCTAAACCCAGAACATGAGACAAGGCAGCTGCTTGAAATCTACGGACATGCAGAGCTCTCCGCCGGACATGGATCCGTGTACTATGCATGTATCATGTGCCGACAGCCTCTGTCTCGCGCTAAGCCCCACCACAGTCCACTTAAACAAGCACACACCGAGGGGGAGGAAGGAAAAGGAGGAAAGGAAGACGGTGCTTTGCTTTCATAGCAAGGCATCCACTCACACAGGACAGCTTCCAAATGCAGCCAACCCCGAAAGCAGCAGCAGCAGCAGCAGCAGCAGCAGCAGCAGCAGCAAACGGCTGTCTCACCCTGGCAGAAACGATAAACTTGAACTATGCAAAAGATGCAGCACTTTGGGTAGTCACGTGGCCTAAGCGGAAATGTAGGGGATCCCCAGGCAGGAGCATGCTACCCCTTCTCCATCCACCACTTTGATCTCTGGCAGCTGGCAGCGCGGCCTCGGTCCCCGTTAAATCCGTAAAAGTGAGGTGAGCCGCAAAGCTGTGGCCTGGAGTGAAAGCAAAGTTCCTTGACCTGTGACGTGGGTGCGCCATGGTTAGATACAGTGCTCCTCACAGCGAGGAGGGGGCCCTGCCAGCTGCCGCCCAGTCCTGCCACTTTATCTAAATTTGAGGGTACTGGAGGTGAAGGTAAGCAGAGCGGAAGCCTGCGTCCCTGCTCTTCACTGAGGTTGGGGATGCTGGCAGCAAGACACAGTGCCAAACACTGGCATAGTTTTGCTTTTAGTCACTTAGACACAATCAGAAAGTTAACAAAAACCAAGTATCTTTCCCAGTTTCTTTCCATCATACACTGCGGAGCTTTCGAAGTTTTAAGAAGAACGAAATGCATAGCAACGAACATGCAGTGAATGTCGCCGTGCTAAGTAGCAGACCTCGAGAAGCAAGCACCCGTGCGGCAGACCAGCCAGGAGGCGGTTCGGAGCATGCAGCAGCCTGAGTGGCCAAGGATGGACGGACTTTCTCCTGAGGGGCAGGGGCTGGACGGGCATCTCCTTTGCTATGGACCGGTATCTAAAGGCCATCGCACCAGGACTCTCCCTACAAAGGACTTCCTGGAGACAAGAGCCATTAGATGGAAGATGCAGGATCACCCCTGTCAGGATGCAGCTACTGGTTGCGGGAGGAAGGCAGGGATGTGCGTGGATTCTTCTAGATAACAGAAGCTGTCTGAAAGTAGTTGCCGAAGATAAAAGTGAAGAAGATAAAGGTGGAGAAGATCAAATGGAGACATAAGAAGCTCCAGAAGCACTCATCTGTGTACCATGTTCCCCTGCGGGTGTTGGAAGGCCCCTCTTTCCTCACCCAGGAACTCAGTGGCTATCTGTGCACCCTCATGACCAATCTTTGTACGTTTTAATATTCTTCCCCGCAATCTTAGAATTTCTTGCGGGTTGTGTGCCCGTGTGTATAGGTGATGGGGGAGGCCAGAGGATATGCTTGTCGAGCTTCTTTAACACGGAATTTTGGTTAGAAACACCAAGAATAGTTTAACGTTTTAAATGCATAATTTGTTTAGCACAATCTCTTTGGGATTCGGGACTGCTTGTGTCTGAAGAACACGAGACTTTCTGAAAACACAGATACCTGCCTGAGGGCCGTGCTCCTGTCAATGGGACTCAGCACATGCTGGGCGTCATGCTCCAGGCAGCCCCTGGGGCGGGCAAGCCAGAGCAGGATGCTCAGTCCCCTTCCCACCAGCTGCTCTTCTGAACTTGCAAGCCTTTGTTTCAACTCTCTATCGAGGTAACCAATCCATCACTGATGGTCTCAATCCCTGCTTTCTCAACGGGGTGCTTGGGCTCCATAAGCACACAGGCTTCTCCACCTTAGGCCCCACTGTGCAGGCTGCACCTTCCTCACTCCTCTTTCCACGCCAGGCCAGCGAGGAGCGACAGGTCAGCCACCACCCTCAAAAGAGCTACTGATCTAAATCACCTTTTCCCTGTGCCAAAGGGAAAGTGACTATTAATTAAGTTTATGACCTTGGCTTTTAAACTAATTCATTATGGAGGCCCAGCCTCAAGACCATTCACGTTCATGGTTTCAAATGTCTCTGTCTTTAAATAGCTATTTAACGTAAAGGACAATTCTCTAGAGTGGCTGAATGGGAGGAACCTCGCTTTTGAAGGACGATGACATTTATGTGAATTCAATATTTGTTTTGCCAATACTGTGGACACCGATAAAAACATTCACATACTTGCAAGATAACCAAGAATCGACAAGTTTCTGACTACAGCTCATTCTTGCAGCAGGTAGGAAAGTGAAGGACTGCAAAACCATGTTGAGCTAGAGTTACAGGGTGGGTTCACCTGCTTTACCCAAATTGCAGGCCAGGTTTGGAATGATGATATCATTAGCTGACCTTGTCATCTTTCATCTGAGGGGACACCTGACCAATAATTTACCCGGCACCTCCACCAGCAGTCCTGACAGGCACAAGTGCTTCCTAACCTTCACCTGACAGGGTGAGACAAGGCTCCATGCCACAAAGAGTGCCAGCTGCCCTCCCGCACAGGCGTGGGATCCAGGCAGTGAGCTGACCGGGTAGGGGGCCCCCCAGGGCTCTGCCCAGTCTTGGAATTCCTACTGCGGCTCTTAGCACGCACACGTCCCAACAGAGCCTGTTTATTCTCTCTTTCTAAGAGTTTGGCTAGTTCTGTGGCTGTTACTGGGTGAAATGAATCAATTTAATGAAGAGTCCAATCCTCAAAGCAAAACAAAAACCAGCAGCAGAAAGGAGCAGAAGGCAGGGGACAGGACTTGTAGCTCAGAACAGTCTCTCCAGCTCTCGGCCGACAGCACCAAGTCACCTCACTGACAGATCATCTGAGACCCACAGACAGACTCAAGCGCATGTGTTATTCAGCATCAACACTGCAGCGATCAGTCACTGGGTCATCCTTCCAATCCATTTTGTTACATGCAGAGGCCAAGGGGACTGGCCCACGCAGAGCAGGCGGCGGTGTGGCATTGGTTGAACTTGTTGGCTGGTGCTATTATAAAAGCCAGATGCTTTCTTCCCCATAAGAAAGCTGTTTCTTTACATAAGAACACCTTTTGTAAATATCAGGAATATTAAAACTAAAACTAACAATATTTAAAATTAGTTTCTAGTTGCATTTTAATTGCATGTTGTGCTTTTAATCCTGTGCTTTTGGAGTCGCCCGCCTGCCCTGCCCTGCTGTGGAACTGACCGTCCAGTTCTGGCCACACTGCCAAGGCTGCACGAACTCCCGCGGGAGCGTGGGCTGTGAGCACAGCATTCCCCCGAGAATGCTGCGCCCATTTGGTGAAGGGCAATGGCTTGTTATCATGCTCAGCAATGTGGTGTCCTCTGTCCATTCCAGGAGTTTCCGATGAAGAAGTCACTACCAGCATCGCTCACACGCCGAGGCCGGCGGGCTCCACGCGGAGCAACCGCTGAGAGCCCCTCGGGCACGGACCAGCTGTCCAGGACTGAACTGAACTGTCTAGAAAAGGAGGCTGACAACGGGAATACACGGAGAAGTCACAAATCTCAACAGTATTCAAAATAACCACCTTGCATTTTAAACAATTTATTGCATAAAATTATGTATGAGTCTACTTCATGCTACAGTGAAAAAAAAAAAAACAACCTAAGTTACTGAAGAACTGCACTGCTGGAGGGCGAGGGCACTGCGATACTGGGTGGTCAATGCATGTGTCGGCCACGTTTAACAGAACAGGTGGCCTAGGCTAGCAGAGTAACTCAGCAAGTCCCAAGTGCTGGACCTTCGCGTTCCTATCTTACACCCAAAGGCCTCCATGCTTCAGACGCCCTGCTCTCTGCTACAGACTCTCACAGCAGTAACGACCTTCTTGATGTACACAAGTCGGCATGTTAGGCTACGTCCCCAAACATCTTTTCTGGCATGATTACGGGAAGCACTCCAGGGCATTCCTTAGGCCTACTAATAATCCACAGGTGAAAAGACAACATACAGAACATCACATAAAACAGTTCCCTCATATATATTTTCAACATTAAGATAGTGCAACTTTTAATAACACATCATCATAACAACACAAATCAACTCCTTGCATTCATCGAGCTTCCCCACTTTATACCTTGGCACACAAAAACAGGAATTTTGAATCATATTTTTAAAACAAAATAAAAGTTCCACACCTTGGGAGAAAAAGCAAACTGGCCAATTCTTCCCCATGATAATATATAATAATGCTTCCTTCTTTACTTAGTTAATTATAAATTTAAGGCCATTCTGGCCTCTTTCTCTGCAGTCTCCTTTCATAATTAAATAAATCAAATACCTCTGTGTTTTATTTCATGATATAGTCAAAGCACCCCTTTCTCTGTTCCCATGCCCACCCTTTGCCAAAACCACCCCCCTCCCGACGCCTGCCCCCGAATAAACACTGTTGATGGTCAGACCGGATGGAAGTTTGTATTGTTTCAGTCTGGTTTGCATGCAATTCCCCTGAAAGGAATCAGAAACAAAGACCACATTTGCATATTTGGTTTTACTTAGTTGTCGCGCGTAAAACTGAACAGCACTGTGCCCGGGAGCGGAGGAGCTGAGCAGTCCTCCTCCGTCCTCGGTCTCTTCTTCTCCACTCAAGCGCATGCTGGAGGATCAGACGAGATTCCCAGGCTTCCTGTCCTTGCCCTGGATGGGCACCACCGTGCTCCCCGCGCTGTCGTGCTGAAGCGGCAGTCTGCCCCCTCTGTGCGTGTTGCTGTGCTGGTGATGGAAGAAAGAGGCTCCTGGGTAGTGGCCCATCACCTCGCTGTAGGTCGGGGGTGGCCCCTCCATCCTCCCGTTACTGCTGCAGGTGCTGGCACTTATGCCCGAATTGCTGCTGGGCGGGCATGGGCCCCCGTTGTACACAGAGATGTCTATCAAGTCGCTGTCGAATATGGTCCGGTTGGGCGGGGCCCTCACAGATTCTCGGTTGAGTTCCATCTGCTGTTCGGGGTCCCTGAGCTGCAAGGTGCAGGGCCCCTGGTAAGGAGGCGGCTCCTCCCCGTCAGACAGGGAGATGGTGGGGGGAAGGTCAATCTCGTGCTGCACGTAGGGGTAGGTGGGCTGAAAGCGGCTGAACCGGTCCCTCTGGATAAAGGACGGGGCAGTGAACCTGTCCCGAGACCGCGGGGCATACATGATCTGCCAGGAAAAGAGCAAAGGCTTGAAGACATTCTTGGCTCAATAATGACCACACACATGACGCTGTAAGAACACCCCCGCTTGGTCTGTGTTCTCAACCGGCTGAAATATTCCCCCCTCCAACAAAACAGGGAGAGATTACCCCAGGAAAAAATGTAGTTGTATTATTCCTCATGAGTTAGACCCCTCACCTTGCCAAACTATAGTTTATCCAAGACGATTCAACAATGGACAATGAGGTTAACTGAAAATTTGGGTTTAATGGGAATTACTGCATATGCTACGTATGTGTTTCCCACTGGGCCAAATGTGAATGTGTGTGTGTATATATCCATCCATTGACTTCTCCCACATCATATTTTTAAATTAAAGGCAAAAAAACTATGTTAGTTTTACGTCATTCTATTAAACTTGGAGATGTGGAAATGAATCATGCTGTATTTATAAACCATGCCCACTTCTGCAGAGCCTCATTGTTTGCAGCTTATGGATCGCATAAAGATCAGTGATCCTCAACCTGTTTTCTGTAGGGAGCTCTAGACTAGCACAAATAATCCCTAGGAGACTTTAAAAATTCTCTCCCCCACGTTAAAAACCAAAGTTATAGGCATATGCCTTAATTTAAATGTTATTTCCTAATCTACACTGTCATACATTTGACTTTTCCACCTATTTTGTTGTAATGGCATATTTCCCTCCTCCCCTCTCCCATCACATCGGGTTGAGCAGCCATCTCCAGCCACCCACATCCCTCCCTTGTCCAACCCCTTACCTCTGAGGCACCAGGCTGAGGACCAGAGCTGTCTGAAGGCCACAGGCGCCCTTCCTGGCAGGGGGTGGGAGGGGGACATCACAAGAAAATCATTAGTTTCATGCTGCAGCACCGAAAATCAAGGAACCACATTCCTCTTGGACAATGGCAGACCTGTTTAAGTCACAGAACAACAAAGAACTGGTCCTTTTATTACACCGAAATTACTACACAAAACAATCTCCTTATTACACAAAAGGAGAATTGTGGCCAAAAGGAAAGTTAGAATGTACGTGTTTGACATATACTCCAAATGTCATCAAACCATATTCAGTCACTGCCTAGATTTGGGTAGAGTCTGGGTCTTTAAGCTCATTTGTTTGTTTGTTTATTTTAATTCTCACCAGAGGATATTTTTTCCATTGATTTTTTTAGAGAGAGTAGAAGAGAGGAAGGGGAAGAAGAGAGAAAGAGAGAAACATCAATGTGAGAGAGACACATCAACTGGTTGCCTCCCACACTTGCCCCAACCGGGGCCGAGGAAAGATCCTGCAACCCAGGTATGTGCCCCTGACTGGGAATCTGTAACCCTTCAGTGCTCAGGCAGACACTCTAACCAGTGAGCACACCGGCCAGGGTTGGGTGCGTAAGCCCTTATGCAGGTGTGCATGGCCACAGCCGGCATGCCAGCCAAGGCACTGCGGAACTGGGCTCTGAGGTGAGCAGCAGCACAGCTAAAGCACCGCCCGCCACACTGCTTTCACACTGAAAACAGATCCCAAAGCCTGGCTGGCCTTCGAGGGTCTAGCCAATCTATTCTTCAGTCCCTTTATTCCCAAGGCAGATGCAACTTGACATCTAGCTGTTTAACATTTTTTTTCAAATATGTTTGACCAGACTGTCAAGGTGACAAGCTGTTCTAACACCATAAACTTGTTTACAAAGCACTTCAATATGTTTTCCCTTTTGAACCCAAATTGTTGGCAAAGGTCCGTTGGGCTACTCGAAAGGCCTGTTATTGTCATAAAGAGAAGAACATGGGCGAGCAGGAGCAGATGTCTGCATTTTTGGATTCCCAGGAATATTCATACATGACCTTGTGCCATCACTGAGCCTCCTGAGAACCTGAAAGCACCCACAAGTAGACCTGCAAGGTGAGACACCCCGAAGTCTCTCTTTTGTATTTTGTAGGCCAGCATTCTAATACAAACACCCCATCTGGACAACAGGGTGTTTAAAAACCAAATACATACAACCTGATCCTACGGTCCTTGCAGAACACCATGGACTCAGCAGCAAAAATAGAAACAGAAGCAGCAGTGTTTCGAGGAGGTTTGGGCTTAAGGTGTGACTATAAAATTATGTAGTGGGCAATCATGGCTCTGGCCTGGTGACAGGTGACAGATCTCATCAAATCTAAGGAAGTGGCTGAGCCACACCCACGGACAGCCCTGCACCAGGCCAAGGCAGCTTGCAGAGCACGTCAGAGCCTGGGCACCTCTGCACCAAGAGGAACAATCACTGTAGTTCCGGGCTGTTACAGCAATTCTCATATTGAAAACAACATACAAACTCATCCTGGGATGTTTCTAAGACTCTGCCCTAGCTCCTCAATGAGCACTCAATCTTACGTTTCACCCAAATCACATCCATTATTAAATCCATTCAGCACTTTTGGCCCTCCTCTCCCCTGGCTCCCAGCAGCACTGGACCCTCTCTTGTTGGCTCAGAGACATCACCCCTCCTGGTTCACACCCTGACTTCTCTGGCCACTTTCCTGCTCTTCGGGGGGTGCCCCTAACTCTGCATTCTGGTTGAATGTTGGAGTTCCTGAGAGTCCTATCTGGGGCCCCTCTCCTCTCAGCGCAGTCTCCCTAGGCCACCTCATTCCCTCCACAGCTTATAGGACCGTCCATACGTGGTGTCCACATTTGGGCTACTGTGAGTAATGCTGCTGTGAAGAAGGGTATACGAATCTCTCTTTGAATATCTGCTTTTCATTCTTGTGGCTATATACACAGAAGCAAAATTGCTGGATCATGTGATAATTTATGTTTAATTTTCTGAGGAGCCACCATACTGTTTTTCAATAGTGGCAGATCCATTTTACATCCCGACCAGCGATGCACAGGGTTCCAATTTCTTCACATCTTTGCCAGCACTTCTTATTTTCTGTTTCTTTAATAATAGCCATCCCAGTGGGTATCTCATTATGGGTTTAAGTTGTGTATGATTAGTGCGTTAAGTCAGGGTTCTCCAGAGAAACAGAACCAATAGGATGTGTGTGTGTGTGTGTGTGTATGAATAATAGGACCTGGCTCATGTGGTTATGGAGTCCCACAATCTGCTAGGTGCAAGATGGAGAGCCAGGAAAGCTGGTGGTATAGTTCAATCTGAGTCTTAAGGTCTGCAGGCCACTGGTGTAAGTCTTAAGGACCAAGAACCGGGAGCTCCAATAGCAGAGGGCAAGAGAAAAGAATGTCCCAGCACAAGAAGAGAGATTTGCCTGCCTCCACCTTTTTGTTCTATTCAGGTCTTTGGGGAATTGGAAGATGCCATTCACACTGGTAAGAACAGATTTTCTTCATTCAGTCTACTGAGTGAATGCTAATCTCTTCTGGAATTATTCTCCTAGAGACATCAGAAATAATGTTTTATTAGCCATCTGGGCATCGCTAAGCCCACTTGTGTTGGCACATAAAATTTGTCATCACAATTAGTGATACTGAGCTCTTTTCAGGTGGTTTTGTACATCGTCTTTGTAAAAATTTCAATTCAAGTCCTTTGTCTGTTTTGAAATTGGGTGGTCCATTATTTTGCTGTTGAGTTTTAGGAGTTCTTTATATATTCTGAATATTAACCCCAATCATATATATGATTTGCGAATATTTTCTCCCATTCTCCCAGTGGCTTTTCACTCTCTTGATAGTGTCCTTTGACAAACCAACGTTTTTAATTTCTAAAGGTCAGTTTATTATTTTCGTTTTGTTGCCTGTGCTTTTGGTGTCATATCCAAGAAATCATTGCCAAATCCAATGTCATGAGTTTTTCCCCACTACTCTCTTTAAGAGTTTTAACTCTTATATTTAGGTTTTAGATCCATACTGAGTTCATTTTTTGAATATGGTGTAAGATATGGTTCCAGTGTCATTATTTTGCAAGTGGATATCCAGTTTTCCCAGCACCATTTTCAAAAATACTGTCTTTTCTCCTTGAGTAGTCTTGGCCCCCTTGTCAAAAATCATTTGACCATATATGAGAAAGTTTATTGCTGAGCTCTCTCTTCTATCCCATTGTCTCTCTTTATGCCAATACTGTACTGTTTTTGTTATTGTAGCTTTGTAGTAAGTTTTGAAATTAGAAAGTGTGAAATGTCCAACTTTGTTATTCTTTTTCAATATTATTTTGGCTATTTTGGGATGGTGCTTCCTTGAGGTAGCACATGCATTTTAGGATGGACTTCTCTATTTCTGCAAGAAACATCATTGAGATTTTGATAGGGATTGCACTAAATCTATTGATTGCTTTATGTAGTACTGACATCTTAACAATATCAGGCTTTTTAATCCATGAAAAGATGATCCATTTATTTGTATCTAATTTCTATCAGCAACATTGTACAATCGTCAATATAATCTTTTATCCCCTTGGTTAAGTTTATTCCTAAGTATTTTTTATGCCATTATTCATTGGATTTTTTTAAATTTCCATTTTGATTGTTCATTGTTAGTGTAAAGGAAGGCAACTGACTTTTGCATGTTAATTTTGTATCCTGCAACTTTGTTAAATTTGTTTATTAGTTCTAGCAGGTGTTCTTCGTTTGTTGGACTCCTTAAGGTTTCCTACATGTAAGGTCATGTTACCTGTTTATAGGATAATTTTTACTTTTTCCTTTGTAGTTGGAATGCCTTTTATTTCTTTTTCTTGCCTAATTGCTCTGGCTAAAACTTCCAATAAATACTATGTTGAAAAGAAGTGGTAAAAGCATGCATCCTTATCTTGTTCCTGATATTAGAGAAACAGCTTTCAGTCCTTTACCACTGAGTACAATGTGAATTGTGGGCTTTCCATAGAGGATGTTTATTATGTTGAGGTAATTTCCTTCCATCCTAGTTTGATGAATGTTTTTATTGTAAAAAAGGATTGTATTATGTCAAATATTTTTTTCTGCATGATGTGCTGATCATGTAGTCCCCCCTTCATTTTGTTAATGTGGTGTATTACACTTATTTTAATATGTAAAACCATCCTTGCATTACAAAAACAAACCCCATTTAGTCATGGTGTATAATCTTTTTAGTATGTTACCAAATTCAGTCTGCTAGTATTTTGTTGAGGATTTTTGCATCAATATTCATGAGGGATAATGGTTTTCTTTTCCTGTTGTGTTTTTGTCTGGCTTTGGTATTAGGGTAATGCTAATTCACTAGAGTTTGAAAGTATTGGTGTCAATTCTTCTTCAGATGTTTGGTACAATTCACCAGTGAAGCCATCTGGTTATTTGCTGATAGGCTTTTGATTACTAATTCAATCTCCTTCAGAGTTACAGATCTATTCAGATGTTCTATTTCTTCATGATTCAGTCTTAGTAGGTGTGTTTCTAGGAATCTGTCCATTTCATCTAGGTTATTCAATTTGTTGACATACAATTGTCCAGAGCACTCTCTTATAATCTTTTTAATTTCTAGACTAGAGGCCCAGTGAATGAAATTCGTGCACTGGGGGGGAGGTGGGGGTGGCCTGCACCCTCTCACAGTCAGGACCCCTCACTCCTTACCGCCCGCATGCTCGCTGCTCCTTACAGCTAGGCTCACTGCTCCTTAGCGCTGCTGCGGAGGTGGGAGAGGCTCCCACCACTGCTGAGCCCGGCTTCTGGCTGAACAGCGCTCCCTCTGTGGGAGCGCACTGACCACCAGGGGGCAGCTCCTATGTTGAGCGTCTGCCCCCTGGTGGTCAGTGCGCATCATAGCGACCACTCCCACAGCCTGAACCTTCTTGGTTTTATGCTCTCCGCTAAACTCTCCTTTCCACACATTAGGGACCACAGACAAGATCATCAGACTTGGGGACTAAAA